TCCAGGAAGGCCCGAAAAGGCCAAAAACATGGATTATCCCGGCAAAGCAACCTAACAGCGATGTGTAGAAGCATATCTGAAAGCATTCCCCTTAAGATTCATATGAAAATCCAGTTGTCGGATTCTGCTGTTCTCGCAGTCGTAGTCGCATTCGCGATGATAGTCGCAGCGGCAACGGCAGTCGCAGTCACAGCCTCAGCCTCAGCCTGCCTCCTCCTCCTCCTCCTCCTCTTTCTCCTGCTCCTCCTCCTCCTCCTCCTCCTCCTCTTCCTCCTGCTCGTCCTCGTTCTCGTCCTCCTCGTCTTGCTCGTCCTCCTCCTCCTGGTGCTCTCTCCTCCTCCTCCTCCTCCTCCTCCTCCTCCTCCTCCTCCTCCTGGTGGTCCTCGTTCTCCTCCTCCTGGTGCTCTCCCCCCCCCTCCTCCTCCTCGTCCTCCTCCTCCTCCTCCTCCTCGTCCTCCTCCTCCTCTTCCTCCTCCTCCTCCTCCTCCTCCTCCTCCTCCTGGTAGTCCTCCCCCTCCCCTCCTCCTCCTCCTCATCCTCCTCTTCCTGGTCGTCCTCGTTCTCGTCCTCCTCGTCTTGCTCGTCCTCCTCCTCCTGGTGTTCTCTCCTCCTCCTCCTCCTCCTCCTCCTCCTCCTCCTCCTCCTCCTCCTCCTCCTGGTGGTCCTCGTTCTCCTCCTCCTGGTACTCTCCCCCCCCCTCCTCCTCCTCCTCCTCGTCCTCGTCCTCCTCCTCCTCCTCCTCCTCTTCCTCCTCCTCCTCCTCCTCCTCCTCCTCCTCCTGGTACTCCTCCCCCTCCCCTCCTCCTCCTCCTCCTCCTCCTCCTCTTCCTGGTCGTCCTCCTCCTCCTGGTCGTCCTCCTCCTCCTGCTCGTCCTCCTCCTCCTCCTGCTCGTCCTTCTTCTCCTGCTCCTCCTGCTCCTCGTCCTGCTCCTGCTCGTCCTCGTCCTCCTGGTCTTGCTCGTCCTCCTCCTCGTCGTGCTCTTGCCCCTGCTGAAAATGTGGCCCAGGAATGGGAGTTCTGGGAAGTCGAAGAGCACGAAGTTGCCTCCAGTTGGCGACGGGCATTCAAAATGTGGCCCGGGAATGGAGTTCTGGGAACTCGAAGAGCACGAAGTGGCCTACAGTTGGCTCCGGGCATTCAAAATGTGGCCCGGGAATGGAGTTCTGGGAACTCGAAGAGCACGAAGTGGCCTACAGTTGGCTCCGGGCATTCAAAATGTGGCCCGGGAATGGAGTTCTGGGAAATCGAAGAGCACGAAGTGGCCTACAGTTGGCTCCGGCCCTCCAAATGTGGCCCGGGAATGGCGTTCTGGGATGTCGATGAGCACGAAGTGTGTGACTGTTGCATCCGGTTATTCAGAATGTGGCCCGGGAATGGCGTTCTGGGATCTCGAAGAGCACTTTGTGTGTGACTGTTGCATCCGGGTATTGAGAATGTGGCCTGGGAATGGAGTTCTGGGAAGTCGAAGAGCACGAAGTGTGTGACTGTTGGTGAAAAACGAGCCCGGCACCCTGCCGCCCGGCAACTCCCCAACACCTGCCCGGACCCCCCTGTGGAGTGATCTGTGAGCTCTTTTGAGTCAACTAGAAACCTATCAGTCTTCGCTGTTAGGTAATTTCCCATGAGTTTTTGAAGGATTGTGGCTTTTGCTTGTTGTTCGGCCTTCCGACGGCCCGAGACGGCCCAAGTGCCCCCAAAGATCGCCCAAGAGGCCCAAGACGGCCCAAAGAGGCCCCCCAAGACGGCCCAAGAAGCCTCCAAGACGCTCAAGATGTCCTCATAGACGGCCCAAGAGCCCTCCAAGACGTCCTCCAAGAAGGCCCGAAAGGGTCAAGATGGCCTCCCGACGGCCAAGATGACCTTCAAGATGCCCACGTGTTCCCCGAAGGCTTTCCAAACCGACTCGGGGAACCCATGGTCCGATAGCTTGGCAGTTAAGGTCTCAACGTTCGGCCACATAGGCGCTTCCGAAAAGGCAGGGGGCGGCGGTGATTCGCCGCAGGCGTCTTCGATGACGCCGACGTCTCAATATGCGCTGATGATTCCTATCCGCCCCCGCATGATGTTCCCAGATGCGCCAAGGCAGCGCCGAGATGCGCCGACGCGACTCTGATGTATCTCATTCTGATAGAAAGGGGGCTGGCGGCAAGGGGCGAAGCCCTTACGGACATTCTCGTCTTTCCTTTCCTCCTCCTGCTCCGTGTCCTGCTGCTGCTGCTGCCCTGCTGCTGCTGCTGCTTAAACTCCTCCTCCGCCTCCTTGCTCCTCCTGGGCCTGGACCTGGACCTGTCGGCATCGGCCTCCCACAGCGAAAGCTCAGGTCGCCCCCTCGGGAAGGCCGCGAGCTCGAGCCGCGTGGCCCTCCTCTGCCGGTGCCCCGCCCCCCCACCCCTCGCGACTCAAAATCCAGGCCGCGAGGGCGCGGATACGGACACGTTCGCCGCTCGTTTCTTGCAGCTCCGGCTTCGCTCGGCGGATTGAGTGCTGCCGCTCCTGACAGGTTCCTCCTTCGCCTACTCAACCGCGCATTCCAAAAAATCCCCCACCCCACTAGAGGCCTTCCCGATGGGGTCCGAGCAGATGGGGTCGGAGGATCGCGCCGCATCGCCGATGCATCTCTCCATCGCGGATGTCGCTCAGCACGTCTAGGCGCGGCGCCGCGCCGGGCTCTGCGGACCCCCTTCCCACGGGCGGCTCTCTGGCGCTCAGGGGGGTCAGCATCCTGATGTTTCTCGGCATGCTGTTCTTGCCCAGTGGCCCACCACTTGCCTTGCCGGCCTTGCCCCAGCTCCTGCGCCCTGACGGTGGTGATCCCCAACTTCATTGTCCGCATCGTACCGCTGAAGATGCTGGACACGTCTTCAACGCTGCTGCCCTGGTTTCGGCTGCAAGCTCCAGCAGTCTGCAGCCGGCCAGTGCGAAGCTGCGATGCGTAAGGCAGATGCACAACAAGCTGTACTGCATACTTACGCCTGTTCTGCAGGAGGACGCTCGGAATGAAGCTGCTGACCAGGTGCCCAACTGCAAGGACATCGGCAAAGGCAACGACGAGGTCCAAGGAACGCCTGCTCCAGAAGACCGTGAGGCTGCGCGACTGGAGCCGTGTGGGCCGCTTCGCGTGCGGCTGATTGGATGGGGTCGCGGCTTCCTTCGTTAAAGTCTGAGACCCTGCTGTGCCATCTTTTGGGCAGGACGAAATGGGGCCCCGCATGGTGACCAGAGGGAGTCGGGGTCCTAAACCCTGGAGCTTCACCCGGGAGATGGTTTTATCATCTTTTATCATTATGAGCAGTTTGTTGTGGCCCTGGGCCCGTGAGACTGCCAAAAAGCTACAGGACCCGTTGCCCCGACCCGCCCGTCAGGGCCCGCTCCCCCCCAACACGCCTGTCAGGGTCCGCCCGCCCGACGCGCGCCCGGCATGGCCCGCCCGTCCGTGCTACCCGCCCTCTCAGGGCCTGCTCGCCGAAACTGTCCGATCGGGTCCCTCCCCGACCAGTTCCACTTCCCCGACAACCGCCCGTGCGACTGCTGCATGTGCGCGGACTGCCACGGAAGGAAGAGCACGGGCCACGGGGCTGGAGAGAAGAATACCAAGGCTGGCCGCGAGGACGCGGCACCGCTGCGCATTGAAGGCCCGGCGCAAGAAGTCCTGAGGATAGAGAGGCTCTCGCCGCCCCGCGCCTGCGCCAAACCGCAGGCCTACGGCCGAACCTAGGCTAGAAGCACATCCTGCAAGATCATTCAAGATCATCCGAGAGTACGGTCCCACATGGTGCACAAGAACATCCAACAAACACGAAGAACGTTGGGGTACCCTCCCCGAACCGACCTCGATCTTATACCTCGGTCCGACCGTAGGAGAGCGCCCCCCCCCAAAAAACCTTCATGACGACTGTCGGGCCGCGCCCCTTCGGTCGTCTGCCGACCGCCTCCCCGCGACGAGGGCCGCCCAGGAGGCAGAAAAAGGGAAAAACGAGGGAAGGGTAGCGGTATGGGTACCTTCTCCTCCTCCAGTGATGATATCTTCTCCCGGTCGCACCCCGAGGCCAGCTTTTAGGGCTGGCCGGACGTTTCGCCTGATAATTCTTCACCATTGATGACTCTGCAGCTGAAAAATTAACAACAGCTTCACAGATGGAGGGCGGGTCGTTTTCAAAATGTGGCTATCACCTTAGCGCGACAAGAGTTTGACGAATGGACACGGAGTCGTTTTCAAATTGTGGCTCCCGCCTTAGCGCGGCGCACATTCGTTCAAAAATTTGCGAGAGCTTCACAGATGGAGGGCGGGTGGATTCCAAAATGTAGCTCTCCCCTTAGCACGGCGCGCAATCGCTTTTAAAAATTGCAAGAGCTTCACGGATTGAGAGCTGGTGGCTTTCAAATTGTGGCTCTCGCCTTAGCGCGGCGAACATTCGTTGTTTAATTGCAAGAGTTTCACGGATCGAGGGCGGGTGGTTTGCGGCGCACATTCGTTCTGAAAAAATGCGAGAGCTTCACGGATTGGGGGCGGTTCCTTTCCAGAATGTGGCTCTCGCTCTAGCGCCGCGCACATTTGTTTACAACATGTGCAAGGGTTTCACGGGTTCCCATCATCAACGTGCCAGAAATTGTGTTCTGAAATGATTGAGGATTATGCGGGCGCAACAATTATGTCGATCCGCTGTGTTGAAGTCCCTGGAATGGCGTTCTGGCACGATTCTGGATTGTCAAGACGCAACAGTCAGGTTGATCAGTGGCGCTGGAATCCCGAGAACAATGTTTTGGCATGCTTCAGGGTCTTTAAACGGTTGTCTTCCAGAAAGACAGTTCCATCAATGGAATTGAACCGTTGTATGGGGGCTATGAAGAGGGAGCTTGGAGGTAGGGTTTATTCCAACATCGTTGATGACTCTCGGGTTTATACTGGTCCTCCTCCTCCTCCTCCTCCGCCTCCTCCTCCTCCTCCGCCTCCTCGTATGGCCCCTCTCTCCCCCTCGCCCTCCTCCCGGCGGATTGGCTCCTGCTGGCGCGACGCGGCCAGCGCCGCCAGTGCGAGAGCCGCGCACCGCCTCACCCCCCCCCCCGCCCCAGGGACCCGGGGGGGGGCGGGGAGCCCCAGCCTTTACCAGGGGCCCTCGGTCGGGGATCTACTGACCCGAGTCCAGACCCCCGTCAGGCAGGCCCTGCACGATCCTGCGGGATCCTGCAGGATCCTGCGCCCAAGCCCGGGCCAGTGCACGCCTGGCTCGGCAGGATCCTGCAAGATCGGGCGCTCTGGCTGACCCCCGCTTGCATTGACCCCCGTCCCTTGAGCCCCGACTTGGGCGCTCCTGGGTCCTGCCGGGCGTGACCGCGTGACTTCTCAACGAAGAAAAACCGAGGGATGAAGCAACGCCCCTACCCTGGCTTGCAAGTGCGCGGTCTGTAGACCTCCTGGGGGCTCCCACGGGCCAGAGAGCCGCCAGGACGCCGCGCGGCACGCGCGATACGCAGAATTTGTCCTGTCAGCCTACAGGAGATTCAGCACACAACACCTCGTAAACTCGGGTTGGGGCTTCTTCTACGCCCTTGAAGAAAACGGCATGAGCATCCGCCACCGTGCCTCTGGCACGAAGTGGAGTGGGAGATAGACGCGGTGCTGCTGCTGCTGCTGCTGCTGCTGCTGCTGCTGCTGCTGCTGCAGCGAGAATTGTAAATCCTTGCAGGGCCCAGGCCAGTCGCATCCCAGGCCTTCCTCGGGATTTCCAGGCTGGCTCCCGCGAGTTCTGAGGTGTTTCCTGCGCCCCTGTGGACGCATTGAATCCCCCCCACCGAGCGACCTCTCGAACCCTCCCATGAGTCAGTCCAAGAGGACCCCGAATCGCCGAACGAGCGCTCCAAGACGCCCAAGATGGCCTCAAGATGGACCAAGAGACCTCGAAGACGCCAGAAGAGGCCTCCAAGAGGCCCCCCGAGAGGGCCCCAAGGCGTGCAAATCCATGATTTTCCGTTGGAATTTGAAGAATTTGGGTGTTCTCGCCTTTTCAACTTTCAAACGCTCCAAGATGGCCCAAGAGGCCTCCCAAGACGGCCCAAGAGGCCTCCAAGAGGGCCCCAAGACAGCTCAAAAGCGCCTCAAGACGGCCCAAGAGACGGCCCAAGAGACGGCCCAAGACGGCTCCAAAAGGACCCAAGAGAGGGAGCACGAACCGAACATCCGAGACTTCTACCTCAAGAGCCCCCCAGGAGGCCCCAAGAGGCGCCCAAAAGGCCCCAAGAGGCCCCGAAGAGGCCCCACAGAGGCTCCCAGAGGCCACCAAGAGACCCAAAAGAGGCCCCAAGAGGCGCCAATACGTACCCCAAGAGGCCTCAAAAAATGCCTCCACGAGGCCCCCAAAAGGACCCCCACGAGACCACAACGAACATCCAGTCGGCCTTGTACCCGCAATCCAAGCACGGTGGGCGATTCCGAAAGGCAGGGGGCGGCGGTGATTCGCCGTAGGCGTCTTCGATAAACTGTCGACTGCTGGAAGTCTGCGCGAGTCTTGTGGATCTGCGCTGAACGCCCCTCCCTGGCGCG